TTTTTTTTTTTTTATAGTCTTGAGAACTATTTTTATTAATGTCGCTCCAAGATCATGAAATAGCTCTCTTCTAATAAAGGCTGGTGTTCAGTTTCTCTGTACTGTTGCCTACCTTTATTTTCAAACTATCCTGCAGCTCACAATCATCCTCACCTACTGGGGCGTATGGGCTGCTTTGGTGCAATAAAGCATAACTGTTAACGTTCGTAAGAAAGCTATTTCCAAGTAAGCCATATTACGGCTCAAGGAGACTCGCCCATCTGAAGACCATCACTGCTCTTTGATTTCCTTCGTAATGTATCCATAATTTTAGAAACCCAAACCCATCATTAAAGATATAACTTGTAAAACATGTGAACAGTTATTTGGGTTATCTTGTCTGTCTGTCTGTCTGTCTGTCTGTCTGCCTGCCTGCCTACCTACCTACCTATCTACCTACCTACCTACCTACCCACCCTCCCACCCATATCTATCTATCTATCTATCTATCTATCTACCTACCTACCTACCTACCTACCTACCCACCCATATCTATCTATCTATCTATCTATCTATCTATCTATCTATCTATCTATCTATCTATCTATCTATCTATCTATCTACCTACCTACCTACCTACCCACCCATATCTATCTATCTATCTATCTATCTATCTATCTATCTATCTATCTATCTATCTATCTATCTATCTATCTATCTATCTATCTACCTACCTACCTACCTACCTACCTACCTACCCACCCATATCTATCTATCTATCTATCTATCTATCTATCTATCTATCTATCTATCTATCTATCTATCTATCTATCTATCTATCTATCTATCTATCTATCTATCTATCTATCTATCTATCTATCTATCTATCTATTCCATCTATCCATCCATCCCCAATACTGCCAAACTACTCAAATAGACAATACAGGTAGTCCTCCACTAACGACCACAATTAAGCCCAAAAGTTAGGTTGCTAAGTGAGAAATGTGCTTTCTCCTATTTTACAACATTTCTTGCCACAGTTCTTAAGCGAATCACTGTGGTTGACAAAGTTAGTAACCTGGTTGTTAGGTGAATCTGGTTTCCCCGTTGACTATGCTGGTCAGAAGGTCGCAAAAGGGGATCCACTGACCCCAGGACTGGGCAATCATCAGAAATGTGAACCAGCTGTCAAGCATCCAAATGCAAATCATAGGGATGCTGCAACGGTCATTAAGTGTGAAAAATGGTCACAAGTTACTTCTGTCAGTGCCATTGTAACTTTGAAGGGTCGCTAAATGAACTGCTGTTAAGTCGAGGACTACCTGTACACCAGTGGTTCTCAACCTTTTTAATGCCGCGACCCCCAACCGGTTGTAAGTCGAGGACTAAACCGGTCGTAAGTCGAGGACTACCCAACCGGTCGTAAGTCGAGGACTTTCCCTGCCCGGGAGCGCCGCGCATGTGTGGTTCCTCCCCCTGCGCCGTCCGAGGCGTAGCTGGCAAGCGGCAGAGACGGAGCAGGCCGACCACCAGCTGGCCCAGCCCAAGGGAGGTAAGGCACCCACCGGAAAAGGGAAAAAAATGGCGGACAGCCTTGCTTGGCGACCCCCGTGAAATGGTCGATCGACCCCAAATGGGGTCGCGACCCATAGGTTGAGAACCACTGCTGTACACACACAGATAAGCTATCCCCCATTTCCTTCCAATTTGCCTCAGATGGGCGGTGACCCGTGTTTTTCATTTCCCCTTCCGCAAAAATCACCTTGGCCTTTTCCTCTTTGCACTCCCACCACTTGTCGAAGGTGCTGAAAGCCACATTCTCCACCATCTTGCGATTGAGGTCTCGCTGCATGATGTTCTTCATCTCCTGCATGAGGGTTGCAAGGACAGTGTCCACCACAGAGGCGTGTGGATCTTCAGGAAGCGGTGGGAGTGGGGCCACCTCTTCCTGATATCCCCATGGAGCTGTCCGGAAATCAAGCAGCTGCTGTGGAGGCGGCAGAGGCGGCTGCTCTGAGGAATGTTGTTGTTGCTGCTGCTGTTGCTGTTGTTGCTGCTGCTGCTCTGAGGTCCCAACGGCTGATGGCTGCTGCATGAAAAGCTGGTCTCGCTGGAAGGGGTGACTGCCCTGCTCCAGTAAGTACCCAGCGCCATACAGAGGGCGGCCGCAGAAAGAAGCCGCGTCCCGGTGATAGGAGAAAGGGTCCTCAAACTGGCCTTTGTTTTGCCGCAGCTGTTGAAGGCCCGAGTCGTAGACCCAAACGTAGACCTTTCTGTACCCGTAGGGTGGGGTGACCAACGGCTCGGCCAAGTACTCGAGGTACCTCAACTGTTTCAGTATCTACACCCCTCGTGGCGCCGGAGGCGGGTGGTGTAAACGAGCGGGAGCCTTTAGCCTGTCCGCTACCGGCACGGCCCCTGACTGAACCGGTTTTCATCTCTCCGAATGGGTTTTACCCGCCAGGTGAGGGAGGGAGACGGACATGAGAGGCTGGATTGGATAAGAGGGCGGTGCTTCCGGGTGATGGTGGGAAGTGAAGGAGGACACCCCCAACTGCATGTGGCCCAGAACTGATGGCATCACGGAAAAATGTGGGTCGGACACCCCGGCCACGGGAGTTGGAGGCTCAACTTCGGCTTCATCTTCCGAAATTTCCATGTCTTCACCTGAAGACTGCTGAGATGCCTGATTTAAGAATTGGAAGGAAAGAGAAAGTGGTAGAGTGAATTAATTAGGCAGATAGCCTATTTGCCCGAAGGCAGCTCAATCAACTCTCACTTGCAGCTTGCAAAATATGAGTTCCCCATTCCTGCATTCTCCTCACCTGCCCAATCTAATGAAGTTTCTGATATTCTCCGCTTAAAAAAATCAAGACAAACAGAGCCACGTCTGCTAAACTTGAAAGTGCTTGATTACAGAAAGATTACTAGTCTGATTTCTAGTTCTAAACGGCGTCTGGTTAAACAAGCCATTTGAAAGTTCCCAAGAATTTCTAGCAGAAATGGCTAAGATTTCAGCCTATGTGAAGGATTACTCACAAGAAAGATATATTTTGGTTTGGAGAAGATGGATAGATTATATTGAGAATAAATATGGAACTAAAAAGTTTCCTTTGGTTTTTGAGTAAATTTTAGATTGTTAATGTAGTTTTTTTTTTAAATTAGTAATAATAATGTTTAATATGTTTGTTTAGAAGAGAGCTAAAGGATGTTATAGAATTGTTAACTTAAGGGTGATATAATTTAAGACAGAGTATAATTATTGTATTGTTAACCCTGTGTGTGGCTCTGGGAAGTCGGGGTGGGGGAGGGTGGATTTTGGGGAGGAGGGGAGTTATATTGTAAAACTTTTAAAAATTTTCAATTAAAAAAAAAAAAAGAAAGTTCCCAAGAATTGATCCTCTGCAAGGTCAACCAAATCACCATCTGACAGGCATGTAAATTGAGCTGACACACTATTAAAATAACTCACGTATGTACTTAAAATTGCAAAGTTTTCAATACACCCAGACCGGGAAAAAGTACACCTATGCGTATTATGATCTAGTGGGCTTGTGTTCAAAATTGCAGAGATTCTCAGTCATCCAGGCCAGGGTGGTCCCAAAGGTGCTTTTTCAAGAGACAACTGGACTTTTGTTTTTCTCTGAAGATGTTTCGCTTCTCATCCAAGAAGCTTCTTCAGGCTGCTCCAGTCTATTCTCCTAATAGTCTTTGGGCACTAAACTTACTATTTTTACAGGCCCATTTAGGGGCTTTACCCTAGATCCGTGGTGGCGAACCTATGGGCACGCGTGCCACAGGCGGCACGCGGAGCCGTCTCTGGTGGCACGCGAGCCATTGCTGGGCCGAGCTGTTCCCTCCTCCTCTCTGCGCATGCGCAGCTCTCCGCACATGCGCAGTCTGGGAATAGGCGAGAGACTATAAAAGGAGCAACTTTCGGCGGAAGCAGCATTTGCTGCAGACAGCGAGAGAGCGAGCACGAGTCGGAGCGGACAGCGAGCGAGTGAGCACGAGCCAACAGCTCGGTGGCCACGCCCACTCGGTGGCCACGCCCACCTGGCACCCGGTGATGCGTAAGTGGGTTTTGGGTTGCAGTTTGGGCACTCGGTCTCTAAAAGGTTCGCACCACTGCCCTAGATCAGTGATGGCGAACCTTTTAGAGACCGAGTGCCCAAACCGCAACCCAAAACCCACTTATGCATCGTTGGGTGCCGGGTGGGTGTGGCCCATTGGGTGGGCATGACTGTGGTGGTAACGGCAGACTGGGTGGGACTAAAAAGTTCAATCAATTCCAACTTTGCAAGATCTTTTTTTCCCCGCGAGAAGTTGAAATTGACTGATTGATTGAACCTTTTTTTTTTGTACACGGCGGTGGAGGCCTAAAGCGAAAAGGTTTTATAAAACCCAGCTGAAGGACTGGGGCGACGGCGCGCGTGCCCACAGAGAGGGCTCTGAGTGCCGCCTCTGGCACCTGTGCCATAGGTTTGCCACCACTGCCCTAGATCCTTTAAAAAAAAAAATACACTTGTGCTTTAGCAAGCTTCCTTAGACATCAGCCCTGAAACATTCTTCTGTGTGAATGGTACTGTTCTGCCCCAGAAGGTTGCTTGTTCAGAGACTGTCAGGCTCCGTTTGATAGGAGATTGCCCTTTAAGTTTTAAAGTACGGAGGACTAACAGCCGTTAGTCCTCAGAGGCAGCCGGCACGAAGGAACTTTCTTTGTCTTGCCGGTCTGAAGTTAATCCTTTTGAGGGGAGAGGAAGAAGGAGCCCCTTCAAGAATATCCCCCCTCCATCAATTAAATTTCTCCTGTAGGCTTAAATTAAACTAAATTGAATTAAACTGAATTAAATTAGGAGTTAAAAACCCCGGCTAGAAAGGTATAAAATGGAGGATCCCCCAATGGAAGACTATACCTGCCTAAGAGCCAAGTTTTCACGTCTGTCCTGGGCGAGATCAAGCCAAAATCTGGGGATCTCTACAGTCCAGGACGGGCGTGACAACTTTGGCTGGCTTGATCTGATTGGGCAGGAATACAGTCATAACCCATGGGTGGACCCTCCATCTCCAGTGCTGGAGAACCGCTCAGATCAATTCTATTAAGCAAAACAAAAAGCAGATTCCAAACCCCAGAAAACTTACTTTGTCTTGCCCATTCGCCTTTGGGGATTCGTCTCCTACTCCCGCATCCAGGGCTGGCACCACATCTTCAAAGCTGACCGGAAGAGGCGGTGGCGGGGTGCAGGGGCCATGTGGCTCTGCTCCCTTGGACCCCCCTTTCTCTTCCTCTTCCTCTTCCGTATCTGAATTGAGGAAAGAAAACTTGGACCGCTGCTCCTTTAGCAGCATCTCAATGCGGGAGTCCAAGCTGCTGTGCTGAGCAAAGGGGACACTCTCGTTGGTAGTCTCCGGGGCCGGGGATCCAGAGCGGACTGGCGAGGTCTGCACGGCAGGCGAATGGGATCGGTCGTCAACCCCGAGGACTACGGTCACTGCTGGACTGGCGTTCTCTTTCGTTTCCTGAGCAAGAAATTCGGTGGGAGGCAGGGAGTTGGCCGCAAACGTTTCTGCCGTGGGGAGCAGCCGATAATCCTGATCCACCGCGTGGGTTTCCGCAGGCACAGAGAAGGGCTCCGGGGTGGCTGTGTAAGATGGGTAGAGCACACTGGGCGCTGGGAAATGCTCCACGCTCTGCTGGGCAAAACCGTGACTGTTCTGGAACTGAATGCTTTCTGAGGCCGTTGTCACAGACGAGGAGGAGGAGGAGGAGGAAGCCGCAGCGACAACACAGGTGGAAGGAGTAGTGGTGGTCACTGCGGACGAAAGAGTAGGATCATCCCGTTGAGAACGTTCTCTGTGTCGGGAATGGAAGCCAGAGTCCTCTCTTGGATGAGAGCGATGAGAGGAGGAGGAGGAGGAGGAAGAAGAAGACCGCCCTGAGGTGGATGAGAGGCGCTGATATCGGCTACTACTGGTTGGGGCTGCACTACTGCTGCTGCCGCTGCTGCCGCTGCTGCCACCGCCGCCACCGCCGCCACCACCAAACTGCTGACTGTAAGGGGGGTAGTGATGGTCATTGCTGCGATAGTGAGTGGAGGAAGAGGAAGATGATGAAGAGGATGAAGTATAGTGCCGGCGGAAGTACGAGTCCGAAAAGCTGTTCTCATGCCGAGAGGATTTGTACGACTCTGGCTGGTAGCTTGAGTAGCCTGGGGTCCCTTGCCTTGGAGAGGAAAAGAAAGAGTTCCATGAGCACACCTGCCCTTCCTTCCTGCCCCCGCCCCCCTCCATGAACTTACTCTGAAAAGTTAACACATTATTTCAGATCATTTCCCCAAATCTTGTCACAAGGGGGAGGGGGGGAAGAAGAAACCCTTACCTGCTAGAATAGGCGGAATCCTGTGAATACGGTGTTCCCCCCCGAGGGGTATACGGAGTCCCCTGGGACTGTGGTGTATACTGGCCGTAGGAAGAAGGTGTGTCTTGTCGGCCGCTGGAGTACGGCGTGTCCTGAGAACCAGGGGTGCCGTTGCCAGGCGTTGAAGGCATTGCGTTACTCGGGTACAACGAATTGGTCGAATGGTGTCTTCGTGACTCGGACTGTAAAAGGAATCATGTGGACAGAAACTTGACATCTCTTCTCGCCCAGAGCTAAAATTCGCATGCAAGGCAAAGCCAAGTGGCTCATGCCAAACGGCCAAATATGTAAGCATCTGTCTTAGATGACACATAACAGGTGTTTTTTTTTTTAAAGCTCGGCTACTACTCGGCTATTTACCAAAATGTACACATGGCAAAATTGGAAGGTTGAGCTGCCTAAAGCAAGGCATCAGCAAACTACCTACAGGACGCAGGTGGGCAATGAATGCGGTTCAGCAAAGAGAAGGGAAGCCGTATCCGGGCTGTATCAAGAAAGCAGAAGTTAGTAAGAAATTCTCTTTTCTTGGGCGATCAAACAGTTTAAGCAAATCTTAAAACAGAGAGGAAAACCTGCAGGGGAGACTTCTGAAGAAAAAGGGGACACTGAACTAATCCAGCAGATTCAAATACGTTTTCTAAAGTTACCGAGTCGGCTGAAAACTTTTCATTCAGCGTTTTGCTCCCAGTTGGGACAGTCTGAGGTGTGAAAGAGCCATTCACAATCAGTTCGAAAAATTTCATGCGTTGTTGACCTGTATAAACAACAACAACAACAAAAAAAGCGGTTGGTAGGAAGCAAGTGCCGTTCGAAATCAGGGAGATGATGCTAAATTAGGAGGGCGACTAAAGGAAGATCATTACCTTTGACGTCAAGCTGGGCGTGAATGATGTTGCCCATGACTGAAGTGTTGTGCAGGTTCTTGACCGTCTCCTTCGCCCCCCTCGTGCTGGTGAAGAGCACCTTGGCCAGGCCCAGGTGCTTGCCATTCTTTGGATTATACAGAATCTCAATCTCCTCAATGTCGCCATATTTTTTGCACATCTCACACAGAAAGGATTCTTTGATGTTATCATTGAGCCGGGCAAATGTCACCTCCTTCAGAGGGATCTGGCCCACATAGTACTCATCTAGCTGCAGCAGTGACAGAAGGCAAGGTGGGATGAGGAAGCTAAAATCAACCTCTAGTTAAGTCACATGCCAATAATTAAGAAAATATTCAACTGGCAGTTGGCAAAAGTTTTTTAAAAAATGCTGGTAAGGATAGACTCAGAAATCACAGTTCTGCTGGACTGAACTTTGATCAGCTAGGTCAGTGGTGGCGAACCTACGGCACGGGTGCCAGAGGCAGCACTCAGAGCCCTCTCTGTGGGCACACGCGCCGTCGCCCCAGTCCTAGGCCTTCAGCTGGGTTTTATAAAACCTTTTTGCTTTAGGCCTCTGCCGCCGTGTGCAAATAAAAAAAAAAGGTTCAATCAGTCAATTTCAACTTCTCGCAAGAAATTTTTTTTTTGCAAAGTTGGAACTGATTGATTGAACTTTTTAGTCCCACCCAGTCTGCCGTTACCACCGCAGCCATGCCCACCCAGTGGGCCACACCCACCCGGCACTCGACGATGCATCAGTGGGTTTTGGGTTGCAGTTTGGGCACTCGGTCTCTAAAAGGTTCGCCATCACTGAGCTAGGTCCAGATCTGGTCCTTCAAGTAGATGAAGCAGACATTTCTCCACTTAAATCCCAGATCATATTATTTCAAGTATAATTTATTACCATTTCCCCGGCAGTAATTTCCACTAAAATTGACAGTTTTATATATACCCTGACACACTTTTTGAATATCCTTTATTTACAACTTCTGAAGATAACCTGCACTTCTTTGGAAAACTCTCTTCTTCTTTTATTTTTTACAGTTATTATCCACTGATATTTCACCAAAATGCACTCAAAAGAAGTACAGAAAGTCTAACAAAATGCAGCAATGTGGTCTGTTCTCCTGGGAGCCACTATTGCTGTTCTTGCTATTCAAATCTGACCCCGGTTGTGAGAATTTTAGTTTTTATAAAATATCTGTAGTAGTCTCCTTGAATACTATCTTATTTTTCAGCATCAAGGTCGAAGGAAGTTGACATATATGCATACTGTTTAAACTGGCAGGGCTCAGTTTCCCTATCAACTTACTCTTATCTTCCAACCTTCTTTATCCTGAGGAAATCTTTAGAAAGGCAAGGAAATCCCAGAATGTATTTTCAAGAAATACAGGTGTGATGCTGATGTTGTGCTAATGGATCTGGAAGCTTAAAGAGAACTGGAGAAAAATGATCTATAATGAAGTAAGTGTAGTTTACCTTAAACTTTGGGACAGGAAGAGAAAGATCTCTGGTTTTGGACCATTTCCTATGTCTTGGATCTTGCACAACTTTTATAGGAGCATGACCTGAATCCTTGAGAAAAGATTAGAAAGCAGTGGTGATTTCAAAAGCCTTATTGACAAAATGGCATTAAAGTACTTCTCAATTTTTATCAAATTAATATAGTTGCCCATTTCACAAATCTGACTCTAAGAGGTGTGTATTAAAAACAGAACTACAATTAAAGCCATTAAACAATTAAAACATAAACATATCTATCGTACATCATCTAGAGCAGGGCTTTTCAACCAGTGGTACGGGTACCACCTGTGGTACATTGGCACCTGGCAGGTGGTACGCGAGCATCCTAGAAAAGTGGTAGCGGGGGAGGGGAATGAGCTGAACCGGTGGCAGCACCGCACAAGCCTGAGCGAGAGATGGCTGGAGCTGCAGGGCTGTCAGGGCTCAGTGGAAGCGCCAGGATCAGTGCAGCTTTCCAGCTGGAGCTCGGCGCTGATCCTGGCGCTTCTGCTGAGCCCAGAAGAAGCGCCGATCAGCTGGAATGTTGCAGCCTCTCCAGGGTCTTGTGATTTACATTCAGATGCTTGGCAACTGATTCAAATTTATGACAGTCACAGTGTCCCAGGGTCCTGTGAAGTGACCAAAACCTGCTGCAACCACCCAGCAGACGGGGCGAATAAAAACCAAACACCCCCCACCCCACCCCCACTGCCAATCCTCAACAGAAATGCTCACAACAATGAAAACCTCGGACAGGAGGAAGAGCGCTGCCCGGTGGGCAGGCAGGTGTCTTGCTCGGCTGTGGCTTGGGGGGCATTTTTTTCAGTGCCATTGTAACTTCGAACAGTCACTAAGCGAACTGTTGTAAGTCGAGGACTATCTGTACTTTATCACTTTTTTCCTTTTTTTGGGGGGGGGGGTCATCAAGTTTTTGACACCTTGCTAGGCGACTGGTGGTACTCGGATATTTCCATATCCTAAAAGTGGTACAGTGGGTGAAAAGGTTGAAAAACCCTGATCTAGATTCATATTCTGAGATGGGCAACATATCAATAAATAATCATTTGCAGCAAAAAAAGGTCATAAAATCAAGCATGACTCACTTATCACTTGGCAAGGGAAGCTTAGGTCACAATTGTGGTCATAAGTGAAGTATTACCCATACATGGACTCACAAATGTGAATTATATGGCACTAATACAAACCTTGAAAAAAAGTTTTAACAATCACGGTAGAATGATTTCCTTTCTAGGATCTCAATGCCTTTGAAATGATTTTTGTCACTATTGGTTCTGCTGCGTAGGGGCAAGCCCAGGCAAAGCAGGGTTTAATAAAGCAAAACCTCTCCGGCTACAATGAATGTGAAACTAACATTCTGTACAGGAAGGGAAGAAACGAATAGTGCAAAAAGATTCGTTCCACTTCAAGTCGCATCTTACTTCAAGGAGATAGTAGCTTGATATCCCTCTGAATGACAGAATGTGGACTTTTTTTTTTTGAGTTCTTTTGAATTTGTTTGTGCTGTACAGTGCTAAAGCTAAAACTGGTATTAAGAATTTAAGAAAAATTAAAGATGTATGGGATTTACATGACTGCATATTCACATTATCATCTGCCTAATCCAGTAGAATATTTTTTTTAAAAAAAATATTCAGGCAAAATCAGACAAACATCCAAAGCTGAGTTATCAGAAAATAAGTTCATTCAAACTTCAAACACAGTATATCAGGAGGGGAAAAAAGAAATAAAATTTAGAAAAAGGAAAGTAGTGTTCCAATTCTAGGGATATGCAAAATGTTTCAACCACAAATTGTGAAATGTCCTATGCGGAATGCAATATAGTCTGTTGCTTTTTAGAAGTATTTTGAGCTTCCAGAGTTAAAACATTTCCTTAGTGCTTAACATAAGCCATTTCATGAAATGTTGGGCTCAAAGCATTTCACACACCTCTATCCAATTACATTAAATACTGGATAAATTTATTTCTGGATTCTTCTCAATAATACTTTCCCCACAAATCAAGCATAATTTAAACATTCCAATCCTACACTAACCATACTGACCTTAAAATAGACTGTGATAAGTCTTTATTTCACAACCTGAACTATTTGTTTTAATACTGGGAAACTCATAGTAAGATGTCACTGGAATTCAGATATTTAAATGGAAGGTTTCATGATGCAGATATTTTGACTGAAAACATTTGCATCACTCAATCTGATCCAGATTACAGTGGAATATATTTTATATTTCAGTGGGATTTCAAAATATTTCCTTTTCAGGAAATTAGAAGAACAGCATGCAGAAGAAGACAATGTTAAGCATCAACAAATATTTATATCATGGATGGCTTAGTGCAGGGGTGTCAAACTGCCGGCCCGCGGGCTGGAGGCATCATAGCGAAACCGCGCCCACCCCACTGCCGGCAATGGCAAAAAAGTCACGATACGTCGTGACACGTCACGTGACGTTGCGAACTTGACACCCCTGGCTTAGTGTGTAAAAGAGAAAATATGTAAGCATGATTAGCAACTAAGAAACAAGGACTGTGATTTTCACAGTGCTTCAAGGCCTGTTCCCATTTCTAAGAATATCTTCAAAGGAAGCCATTTCTCTTTTATGATAGCTCTTATTAAGAATTGATTGGGACCTTTAAAACTAACAGAGAATCTTATTTATGGAACTTGGGGCCTGTCTCTTGCTTTAATTAGAAAGGAAAATATGGTTGTCCTGAACTTCTCCATTTGCTGTTACACAGTACAGAATATGAATAAACAGGCTTGGAAACTATCGAGAACCTTGTGCCTTCAGTATTATACCAGCACTGTTTCACAAGCCTTAATCATAATGCCCTTTCCGTAATAAGTTAAAATACATAGAAACTAACTTTCTAAGAAACATTCTTGGAATTTTTGCCTTCGTAGTCTATACAGAAAAACTTATGATCAACATGTGTTAGAAAAGTAAATTAAACTCCTGTTGATTTCAGTGGAGTTAAATGCTTCAGCACGCTAAGAAAATCACTGGCAACTATGAGATTTAAGCAAAAGCCTACACTAAATCCAATCCCTCCTATCTTACCCCTCACTAAAATCACCACCTTTTTTGGATTCCTAGACCATCAACAGGTTCAGATGAACCACAGGTTTCTTTATCAGAGACAACACACAAGGTCCACTAGCCAGGTTTCACTAGCCAGAAGAAATCTGGCCCATGCTAGACAGTACAAAACATTATCAAAATTGGCAAGTGCTGGAGCGTAGATGATGTTCCTAAAAGCCAACCTCAACATGACAGATGGAAATATTAGAATCTTTGGCAATGGCCCTTTTGAAAACGATGGAAAGCACTCAGGTTTTTTGCATTAGCTAATTTACATAATCTAAAACTATAATGACACACACACAGAAAAAGAGCCGTAGGGAATGGGGAGCCTGTGGCAGTCACGAAAAAGCTGGACAAGGATCAGTATGAAGCTGACTCATCCAAAGATTTGTGACACACTACACTGGATCTACTCTCATCTAAGAGATGGAAAGCAAAGTAAAATGTTAACACTCAGCAAAATACAGTGCGTGAAGAAAACAGGAGAAGCAATATTAGAATGTAGAAAAGATATAAAAGAGGACCTAGAGATATTGCCAAACATTAGACCATCCATCCTCAGCAGGAATGACTCACATGCTTTACAATTTGGTAAAAAAAATATATTAAAAAAATCCAATACTGTCCACTTACATTAGTGCTGAAATGCACTCCGTCATAGCGGTAGATCTTGTGCGGGCCATCCTTAAGCATAGGATCAACGATGAGCTTGTAGTTTCTCCACTGGAAGTTAGGGGTTTTCTGGAAGTCACCCCCACCTTCCTGATCCATTCTGACTCATTTACACTGCAGGATGCACATGGAATCAAAGGGATATATTAAAGCGTGTGTTTATTTCCAGCAGAAGTAATTTCAATGAGAAATTCTACTGCCATCCACCTCTGAAACTTTCATACTCAGAATCACCATCTAAGGATATCTTTCTGTCTCTGATTTCATTAAAAATTCGAATATGTTTATGGAAACATGAGAAAGACTATGGAAGGAAAGGGGGAGGGAAAAACAGAAGGCCCGAGGCACAATAGGAGGATAGTGAACAACTGGATATATACGGAGGATACGAATGTCCAAAAAAGGGGGGGTACGAACACGCTGACTCTGGGAGCCTGTGGTGGGGCAGCAGATAGTAACGCGCACACAGGAGGGGAGGATGGAGGAAGGGAAGTGAACAACGGAGTAGCAGCCCTAAAAAACACCAAGAAAACAGCCAATGCGTGCCTCCCAAAAATCAAACAATCAGGATCATCGGATGGACCGATGACAAGGTCCAGGAGCCGTGCGCAAAAACTGGCCAGTGCTATAAAAAAGAGACTCCCATCGGCCTGTCTTAAGCCCTGATGATGTCGGTAGTGCTGACCGATGAAAGCTTGGCATTTGATTAAACGTTTTTAGTTTAAATTTTATCCTGGTGTTCGTTTTTATAGGATATCTTTCTGTATATAAAGGAACCAGAAGGTTTAATATTAAGCACCGTGAAATGGTCTGCTCACAAAATTTCTCCTGCATCTACTTCAAGATCTGTTTAACATTCCCGGTGCTACTTACTGAATTCAGAAGGCTCAGTGGCTTATGCCAAAGTATCTGACTGTGCAAAGCTGACTTTGAAAATAGCTGAACCCCAATTGCTGTGTTCACATGATATCCTAAGTTAGGCGGCCTGGTTTATGTACCTGCTCACTCTTTCCCTGAATAGTGCTACTAAATGTCAAGTCCTACTTTGATATTCTTTGTCTATCATTCTACGGTCAGTTTACCAAAATTGTGAACACATTTATACTAATCAAGGCTTGTAGCCTACAGTACAAAGCTAATGTAATTAAATATATACTGCTCAAAAAAATAAAGGGAACATTTTAACATGGAACTGAAGGAGTTTGTGTTCCCTTTATTTTTTTGAGCAGTATACTTAGAACAGAACTGCCTGGACTTGTGATTCTATAGTCTTACTTGTTTGTAGGCAGAGTGATTCTGCAAAATGTAGCACATAGAAATTTACTTAAAAGCGTTTAAACAAAAACATTCAGAGTTTTTCTATTTATCTTTTTCTGAAAAGAAAAGCAAACCTCTATTTCTAATGATTATGAAGAAATATTTGGTTAGCAAACAATGTGCAATCTCAGAAATTGAAAAAGGATCAAAGTTGGGACCTTTGTTATATGAAGAAACAAAGAAAAATAAGCTGATGCCAAAAGGTTCTTGAAAGTCAGAAAAATAATGATTCTTTAATAAAAATATAATATTGCCTTATGGAAGTCTTTAGAAATGGGATATCTCCTCTATGCAGATATCCATCCCTGAATCAAAACATTCTAGAACTGAAGTAATGTAGACAAATGCCTGACCAAAATCTGTTGGGAAAAACCTCATAGCAGTATATGCCACAGTATTATAAAATTATCATTTTTAAAAAAAAAAACATCCCTATGTTTTAATTTATTTCATTTTCACTTGACCCGAAATCAAATTTTTGTGTCAACGTATTCATAATCTGCCAGATGAAAATATTGAATTAATTTTAAGTAGAAATGCAATCTTGGAAACCCTTGTAACTTACATTCTGCTCTGCTAATTGCATTAGGACAAGCGTACATATCTCAGAATACATAGAAATTATATCACAGTAAAAGAAAGGAATAAACTTAAACCTGTTGTAGATGATCTCTTCTGTGGTCAAACTACTGGTAAATTTCAACGTATAGCTATACAAGTATATTTTTCTCCTTCTCAATAAAACCAGGTAAGAGTTGATTCAATCCATAATTTGAAACAGAATATCTAAGAGACTAGGAAGAAAGCAGAAAAGTGTTTTAAAAAGCAAGCAACATGACATTCTCATGAGGGATTCAAACTTATATTCTGAAATATTTTCAGGATGTAGTATTTTGCCATCCTGATTTTATATGCAAAATTCTGATGATAAATTAAATCTAGATACGAGGACTCAGATTTGAACTTCCACATGAAGAAATTTATGTTACAAAAAAAATAAATTAACCAAATTATTCAAATAATTAAAAATTGAACATTACAGATATTATTTATAATCAAACAAAATGGAGCAAGCTGAACCCATAACCAATAAGCTAAGCTATGTTATAAAATTTCCTGTGGGGAAAATTCCCCCCAGTTTTGTTCTTTTGCCAAGGGAATAATAAATAGCATAAACATAATATTCTCTTAAGCCTACAAAGCCTATTGACAAAGGTTTGCCCTCCTTTCAGCTCCTCAGTCTATACCTAGAATGTTTCTATCTCAAGTATTTACTCCCTATTTCTTTAGTTAAGACCCTCAATCTATGTGTTTGCTAACAATAGTTCTAATTTCCTGATGCTTATCTTACAGAGGAGCGTCGTTTCCAATTTCCTGCCTTTCTCAAATAATTCTTAGATAATTTCCCCATCTCCACAAGGAAGATACCATCTCTTTCTCCTTAACCTCCCACTATCTCCACAACTCGGTTTATTCCCTTCTCCACCCTTATCTTTGATTTCCAGTGTCCTGTCTCTATGGAATATTGTTCTCCCACTAGTATTGCTATCATATTAATATTGCTGAGCTCCCGAAGGCCACAAGAGACAGCTCTTACCTCATCCTAGCTCTTCCAAATACCTGCTAGCTTTTTTCCCCTCCTATACACCTGACACTCAGTTTAACGGTTGGCACAAACTCTACGACAGTGTTTCTCAACCTTGACCATTTTAAGGCATGTGGACTTCAACTCCCAGAATTCCACAGCCAGCAATGCTGGCTGTGGAATTCTGGGAGTTGAAGTCCACATGCCTTAAAATGGTCAAGGTTGAGAAACACTGCTCTACGAAGAGGGGTGAATTAAGACTGGCCGAAGGGGGGGTGCCCGGGGGTGGGGTGGGGGGGCTGTCTGGAGGCATGGATCAACCCTGATGTATTTTGAGAAAGATCCCTTGACAGAAATCCTCCAAATCCTCCCTGCCCCTCTGACCAAATGGCTCCTCACAGCTTTTCATGCCAACGCTCCCCTTTTCTGTCACCCTCCTCACCCGAATCGTCTACCCCAGTGTTTCTCTCAACCTTGACCATTTTAAGGCACGTGGACTTCAACTCCCAGAATTCCACAGCCCAGCATTACTGGCATTGCTGGCTGTGGAATTCTGGGAGTTGAAGTCCACATGCCTTAAAATGGTCAAGGTTGAGAAACACTGGGACTCTACCCCATATTCTTAGCAAGGTAGCCAACTTCCACAACAACCTCTCTCTCTCTCTCTCAAGCTTCCCTTGTTCAGGAGACCTAAGAAACGCTACCTTCTGTGCACGTGAGAACGATTTTTTTTTTTTCCTCTGAGGGAACCGATCCCGCCTCTCTCTCTCCCCCCTCACCCGGCACCCGGTCCTGCCCCGCCATCACCCCTGAGGGGCCCTTTCTCTTCTCTGCACCTCCTCCTCCCTGGACCCCATTTCGGCTATTCCCCCCCTCCCCCAAATAATTACACCTTCCCTTAACCTTCCCATTCCCAACTCTCCCNGCAAGACCGGCCGGATCGCCTTTTGTTCCTCGAATCGGTACTTTCGACGCAAGCGAGAGCGGGAAAAAAAATCCGCTTCCCACCGCGAGCCCTCCGAGCAGGCCGGCGCGTTTCGCGGGAGGCTTTCGGGCACTCGGCGGCGCTCTGGAAGTTTTCCCAGCGTTCCCTCGGAGCGCCACCTCGGGGCGAATCGGCGGTTCCGAAATGGCCGCTGGAGCCCCTAGGAAGGGAAACGAGTCGGCGTTTCCGTAATCGCAGATTCTTCCCAGGCTGACAGGAAAAAGGCGCGTCGTTTCGGGGACTCGGCGATGCGCCCTGGCGCCGGGACGCCTTGTGGGCCAGAGGCGGCCCTGGCCGAAATGTTTCGCTGGGTTCGGTTGGAGGGCGGAAGCGCGAGGGGCGAATCTGCGTGAGAGAAACCGCCGCTCCTTCTGACTAACGGGACCGGCGACGCTTTCGCCTCAGGAGGGGAAAGGCCGGCGCTCCTTTTGCCGCGAGATTGAAGCCAAAATGGAGACTAGAGTCCCTCGAAAGCCGCTTTTTGGCTCATCCGCTTCCAGCTAAAAAAACCTAAACCTCGTGGATTTGAGGCCCGGAAGAGAAACAAGACGGAGAGGACGGCCTGGCTTAACTATAGGGCGGTTTGGAGACAGTAGGATCTCCTCAGCGCCCCCCCCCCGCCCAGTCGAGAGGGACAGACTTTGAAACTATATTTTTCTTCGCCGTGTGGCAGAATAGTTAGGAGTTTTTCAACACAGGTGCGTGGGCCTCAGCTTCCACTGGGGAATCCAGCAGGGTTGCCAGGTGTCCACTATTTGAGTGGACAGTCCGCTTTTTTCACATTATGTTCACTATTTTTTTTTTCACAAAATAGCGGACATTTTTTTTTTTATTCGAAAGCTTTATGATGAAATGGTACGTAATCTAAAGCTGTACAGTCTACTTTTTTTACTACTTAACCTCCCCCCCCCCCGCTTGTCCGCTATTTTTTGGAAGCAGACCTGGCAACCCTAGCAGGGAAGGACGCAACTATTTGTCTGTGGGATTGCATAAAAAAAAGCAATTGGCTCCCCGAAGTTTTCTTAGGGATGGGGGGGGACATGCAGTTGAAAAAAAGCATTGCAGTCCGGTCAAATATGCATGCATCCTCTCTCCCCCTCCAAAAAATGTACCTTGAAGATTAACAAATTCAGGAGGCTTTGTGTCCTCAATAGGTGTGGGACAAGCAGAAATCCATCCCGTGGTTAATATACTAGAAAAAGTGTCCTTGCT